CTCGGTCTTTAATAATCTCAATGAGAATTTGCCGGTGAGTATGTGTGTGTGTGGGGGTGGTGGGGAGGGGGAGGAGGGTCTGACGGTGGAGGAGGGAGAAGAGGGAAGGCGAGAGTCTGTGGGTGAGGGTGGAGGAGAGAAGAGGAAGGCGAGAGAGGAAGGGAGAGTGTGGGGGTGAGGGTGGGGAAGGGGCAGAGGAGGGAGGAGAGGAAGGAGAGTGTGGGTGAGGTGAGAGGGTGGAGAAGGGGCAGAAAGGGAGGGAGAAGGAGAGTGTGGGTGAGGGTGAAGGAGGGAGAAGAGGCGGAGAGAAGGGAGAGTGTGGGTGAGGTGGAGGAAGGGAGAGAAGAGAGGAAGGGAGAGTGTGGGTGAGGGCGATGACAGAGGGAGAGAGGGAAGCGAGAGAGGAAGGGGAGTGTGGGTGAGGGTGGAAGGAAGGGCAGAGGAGGGAGAGAGGAAGGGAGAGTGTGGGTGAGGGTGGAGGAGGGAGGAGGGAGGGAGAGGGCGCAGAGAGGAGGGTGTGTGAGGGTGAAGGAAGGGGGCAGAGGAGGAGAGGAGAGGAAGGGAGAGTATGGGTAAGGGTGAAGAAGGGCAGAGGAGGGAGAGAGTAAGGAAGGAGTGGTGGGGCGAGGGTGAAGGAGGAGAGAGAGGGAAGCGAGAGGAAGGGAAGAGTGTGTTGGGTGAGAGGGAAGGAAGAGGGGCAGAGGAGGAAGAGAAGGAGAGGAAGGAGAGTGTGGGTGAGGGTGGAGGAAGGGGCAGAGGAGGGAGAAGGAGAAGGGAGAGGTGGGTGAGGTTGAAGGAAGGGGAGAGGAGGGAGGAGAGGAGGGAGAGTATGGGTGAGGGTGAAGGAAGGGTACAGAGGAGGGAGAAGGAGAGGAGGGAGAGTGTGGGTGAGTGGAGGAAGGGCAGAGAGGAGAGCAGAGCAAGGAGCTGAGAAGGAGAGAAAGAGAGGAAGGGGAGTTGTAGTGAGGTGAAGGAGGGAGAAGAGGGAAGGGAGAGAAAGGGGAGGGGAGTGAGGGTGAAGGAGGGAGAGAGGGAAGGGAGATTGTAGGTGAGAGTGAAGGAGGGAGAAGAGGGAAGGCGAGAGGAAGGGAGAGTGTGGGTGAGGAAGGAAAGGGGCAGAGGAGGAGAAAGAGAAGGAAAGGTGAGTGAGGGTTGTAGGTGAGAGTGAAGGGGGAGAAGAGGAAGGCGAGAGGAAGGGAGAGTGTGGGTGAGGGTGAAGGAAGGGCAGAGGAGGGAGAAGAGAGGAAGGGAAAGTGTGAGTGAGGGTGAAGGAGGGAGAAGAGAGGAAGGGAGATTGTAGGTGAGAGTGAAGGAGGGAGAAGAGGGAAGGCGAGAGGAAGAGAGTGTGGGTGAGGGTGAAGGAGGGAGAAGAGGGAAGGCGAGAGGAAGGGAGAGTGTGGGTGAGGGAGTGGAGAGTGTGGGTGAGGGTGAAGGAAGGGGCAGAGGAGGGAGAGGAGAGGAAGGGAGAGTGTGGGTGAGGGTGAAGGAAAAGGCAAAACGAGGGAAGAATGTTGGCGAGAGGGAGGAAAGGCGTTGAGGGAAAGAATGAGAATGATGATTGCGATGATGGTTAGGTTTGATAACTAGGCCTTATGAGAATGATGATGAGAATGATTTCAATAATGATAACGCTAATATTCGTGTACTCCCAGTTACCACAATATTTATGATTTCAATTCATTCGTCATCCCTACCACTCCGATCGAGAAAAGAAATCTGACCCTAACATTTTCTTGCCTTCATATGCCCCCCCCCCCTCTTTAGATACGCTTTACCTTAGAGAACAGTCCCGCCTTTAAGATCATCTCAGGAAGCAGTAGGATAGAAGAAAAGGAGGGCAACCCCACCCACATACGCATCTGGATCCAAAAGACGTCCTGTGTGGCGCCGCGGGACAAGGCGGTGCACTTTGCCAAGGTCAAGATGCTGGAGCTCGGGGACGTCAACCTCACGGTCATTTCGGCCGTGGACTACAAGATCCCCGTGAAATGCGAGACCGGACCAAGTTCAGAGGAGGTAGGCAGGGGCGTGTTGCTGCGGAAGGGGGCGGAGTGCGGGCGGAGGGCGGGGGGCGGGGGGTTGGTCTTTTGATTTGGGTCTCATTATTCTGTCGTGAGGAAATGGAAAAAAAAATTAAGTCCCGCGAATAAATCTAAGACTAGTTAGAGTACGGTTTTTTTTAAGACTAATTCTAAAATTCATGAACGGATATATGTTTGTAAGAGCATTTGAGATTCATACACGAAATGCTAAGCGTAATCCTGCTCTTGCATCAGTTGCTGATATCACATGGATTAAGCTCATCCTTTATATCTTATAGAGACACTTTGATCAAGAGTATTAAGGTAGAGGCGGAAGGTTTCCAGAAAGAGAAGACTTGGACTAGATACGTCTGCACGGAAGGTGAGGATTTTTGCGTTTTCGATTTTGAAACGAGGAAAGTCAGTCTTTTGTGTTTCTTTTTGCGTTTTCACAGAAAGATAAGATAAGAACAGATAACATGTAAGTAAAAATTAGACAGTAATAAGCTAGACAAGGTAGGAGACACCAATGCGCCGGGAATAGTGATCACAGGACGAAGAGCGATATATTATTTTCTACAGGAAAGTTACTTAAGATTTCGTCATGACTTTCTGATGAAAACTTTGATAATTCTCTAAATCTAATTATTATTTCAGAAGTCATCTTCAGACTTTTAAGACATCGCTAGACAATTCCATCCCTATATTTTTTTGTACATATCTCAGAATTTAAACATCTTAAATCGAATGATCATCTTAGGCCTATTCCAGATCTATTCCATAACCGGTTGTAGGATTATTTAAACCAAAAGACAAACGCCCTGGCCTCCACAGACCTGGCCAAGGGGGACAAGCTCAAATCGGATCAGCTGTCGACGTCCCGGAACACCGTGGAGGGCTCTGAGCGCGCTTGGGTCACGGCAGAGGGTGACCTGTTCGCCCTGCCGATCGAGGTCAGTTCTCTCGGGGAGTCGTTGGTGGAGGCGACTAACTGCTTTCTTTCGTTGGCTTGGTTAAGGGAAGGACCGAGTTTGGTTTGGTTTTTGTGTGTATCAACGCTAAACTAAGCTCCTGTTTCATGGTTTAAGTAACTTAAGTGCTATAAGTGCCTGGCTGCAGAAAAAAAGACTTTGTTAGTAAATTCAGTGGCTTTAAGAGAGATGATACACCCTGTTTTGGGCTGTGTTTATTTTAGTTTATTTACCTCAGATTAATGGATGGTTTAAAAGTTGTTCAAATCACTGTGTGCATATTTAATGAAAATACGAACATGTACGTATGTTTTTTTTTGCTGAAATAAAGATTATCATTATCATAATCATTAGTAGTAGTGTTATTATATTCGCACAGCAGACCACACGCTCGCGTATGAGCACGTGCACACGCACACGCACGCACGCACACGCACACGCACACGCACACGCACACCACGCACACCACACACACACACAGCACACACACACGCACACACACACGCACACACACACACACACACACACACACACACACACACACCACACACACACACACACACACACACACACACACACACACACACACACACACACACACACACACACACACACACACACACAACACACACACACACATCCTCCATCCTCCTCCCATCCATTCACTTCTCACAAAAGAATCTATCACCATCGACCACAGATAAGAGCAACAGATAAACACCCTTTATCAGTGACCCCGCCACGCCTTCCCCATCCATGGATTAATCATTATCATCATTATCATCATTATAATCATTTCTTTGCCTTGCAGACCATGGACTCGCTTATCCGGGTCCCTCACGGATCCGGAGAGCAGAACATGGTGATCTTCGCGCCCATGGTGCACGTGATGCATTATTTGAAGGACACGGGCAGAACGACGGAGAACACGAAGAAAATACTCCGTTTTCTGCGGATTGGTAAGTAGAGGGGGGGGGTGAGGGGGGAGGGGAAGGGGGGAGGTGGGGGAGTTGGGGTAGATGGGAGGGATAGAGTGGGAGGGTGATAGATAGGGAGGGGAGATAGAGGGGGAGGGATGAATAGAGGGTGGAGGGTGATAGATAGGGAGGGGAGTAGAGGAGAGGGGGGGTAGTGGGGAGGGGAGATAGAGGGAGAGGGGGTAGATTGGGAGGGGGGGGGAAGGGGTTACAGATGGAGGAGGGCGTGATAAATGGGGGAGGGGGGGAGAGATAGGGGACGGGGAGATAGATGGGGAGGGAGGGGAGAGGGGAGAGATGGGAGAGGGGGGTGATGAGAGATGATGGCAGGGGGGGGGGGATATAAAGTGTTTTTGGTAATGGATACAGGGGGGGGGGGCGGTAAAAGTGCTAAGTGGGTGGGGTTTATAGAGAGGAAATATGTGAACGTGCGCGAGTGTTTGTGTCTGTGTATTTAGATCTTGATATGTGTACCTCAGGTCATACGAAGAACACCTACAAATTTTAGTAAAAAATACCCTCCACCCCCCCCCCCATACTTTACGGAAGCGTGTCATCTAATAATAACTGAAATTAAAGAATATCCATCGAGATATATCAATTACAAAGAGGAAGTCTTCAAAAATAACATCTAAGACCCCCCCCCCAAAAAAAAAAAAAAAAAAAAAAAAAAAAAAAAGTATAGGTGTGAGATTGAGGTTAAATATATATGTACTGCAACGTATGTATATTTATATTCTGCTGCACTGTACACCAAATAATAGGAATGAACAAAAAAAAATTACAATATTGACGTCTCATTTAGGCTACCGGCGGCAGCTGTTGTACCGACGTAGCAGCGGTGCCTACAGCGCCTTCGGGAATGCTGACAGATCCGGCTCCACGTGGCTCACGGCGATCGTCCTCAAGTCCTTCGCGCTGGCTGCAGAGTTCATAACTGTGAGTATCAGCTGTTTATCGCTATCAGCTGTTTATCGCTATCAGCTGTTTATCGCTTTGGGAGAAAACTATTTAAGAGATTGTTCGGTGAGGACGTAAATATGGTAACCACAGTCAGTGACGTCAGATTTTTTCTCTCTCATTTTTTTTAAAAATCTTTATATACAAATGAGCTCTCATAAAAAAAATGTTTGATAGCCTGCGTGATATAGATCTAAAGCTTTCTATGTTTCCAGATCTTTTTAGTTCTTTTTAATCTAAGCAATGTTATATAACCTTCTGTACATTTGTAAGGTTTCTCTTCTTACCACAGTTATCACTTTCTTTGTTCTTCTCAGCATTATGTACAGAAAGTTAGTTTTTCTCTTTGCCACATTATGAAAAACTCCCTATATATTGAGAAACTATTATAGATTTTTTTCTGTATCCAACAACAGCTGACAGTTTATAACATGTTTTTGTTGTTATTGCTCTCCTATTCGACCCTCTCGCAGATAGACATACCGGCTCTGAAGGAAACAAGTAGATGGCTTTCCAGTTCGGAAATAGAAGATGGCTGTATCGTCCCAAAAGGAAAAGTCATTCATAAGGGCCTAAAGGTTTGTTTTCTTCATTCTTAATACGTGTCTCGTACTTTTTTTTTTCTTTTTTTTTCCTTTTTTAATTGACACCCATAGCTTTCAGTGACACAACGAATCATTCTTTTGTGACGTATTCCTGTTTAATTGGGTCTGAAAAGGTATCAATGTATATTGTATATTCCTTACCCAGTGACCAGGAGGCAGTGAATTATGGCCCGCATCATTCATTGAGTTAGAAATCATTTTTATTTTGCTTACTCTTTCTTTTTCGTAGTACGTTCAGAAACCCTTGCAACACTACGCAAGCATTTTATTCTCCATATCCGAAGTCAAATATAACCAGAATTATTTGGGCGTGGCATATTTTCCATTCAGTGATTGAAAAATGTACTCCAATGCAGCCCTCATGCTTATTTTTGTTTGTTCTCTCTGTCCAGGGAGGCGTATCGGACAAAAACTCATCGGTCCCCCTGACAGCTTTCGTTCTGGCCGCCCTCTTAGAAGCAGGAGCTCGTACCAACATGTCTATTGTCAAGGGAGCCATCCGTTGCCTCCTGTCTGAGAGATCGAAGGACCCTCACACCATGGCGCTCAAGGCTTATGCCCTCATCATGGCCGAGAATCGCGGAGGAAAAGATTTATTGCGCAAGTTGCTCGCTCTCGCTGTGGAGAAGGAGAACGTTCTGTACTGGAAACCGCTGGAGGGAACTTGTAAGTTTGTGTTTGTTGTTTTGCCTTTTTTTTCACGGTCGGGTGCACGCAAACCACTAAGTTTTGAGTTTGATGTATTTGTTACGTATTTTAATAAGAGTTTCAGGTCTGTTTTATATTCTGCCACATTTTGTCGTAATTTCAAACTCTGTAAGGATAAAGACCTTTGTAATGCTCTGACTTTTCAGATTATCATTGAATTGTTAGGTTATTATATAGGTATAGATATGTATATAATTTACTAATGCATAAACATCCAATACATAGATATATAATGGAAGATAAGTATAATTTGTTAACGCTAACGAAGAGACACACTGACAGATATTTGTGGTATCTTTCCCCTTATATAGATATATGATTATAAAAAATGATTATGATGCGTTTGACGTTTGAATATAATTACATAGTGACATACTGATTGCTAGTGCTCGAAGCTATACACGATGCAAACATTCCTATTATTTGACCACAGCCTGGAGCAAGTCCCAGGCCATCGAGACCACCGGGTACGCTGTGCTGGCCATGCTGAACCAAGACCCGGATAAGTATAAGCTGTTGGCGAAGAAGGCGATCCAGTGGCTCTGCGGGCGGAGGAGCAGCAAGGGCGGCTTCTGGTCCATGCAGGTCGGACGTTGCTGTATTTACATTGATTTGGAATGTTAGATTCAGTGGATAATCTTGAATAAAATGGTGAACTTCTGATATAGCGTTCTTTAAAAAAAAAAAAAATGCAGTGACTAAGTAGACAGGGAAAGGGATAGAAGGTGAGATGGATAGAGAGAGAGAAAGAGAGAGGGGGTGAGAGAGAGAGAAGGATGGGAGAAAGAGAGACAGAGACAGAGAGGATAATTACACCTGAAAACACCGTTGGTCTTTCCCCAGGATACGACAGTCGCCCTCCAGGCCATGGCGAAATACGAGACCCACTCGAATCGCGAGCCGACCAACGTCCGCGTCACATTCAAGGCCAGGTCTTTCTCCGCCACCTTCAACATCACCAACAAGAACAAGCTCCTGCAGCAGCGACAGGAACTCCCCGTCCTGCCCACTGATGTCGACGTCACCTTGACCGGCCGCGGGTGTGCGATCGTCCAGGTGGGAGCAGGCGAAGCGGGTTGCTGTTGGCCGTTTCGTATTGCGTATTGTCAAGTTTCACACACACACACACACAACACACACACACACACACACACACACACACACACACACACACACACACACACGCACACACACACACACACACACACACACACACACACACACACACACACACACACACACACACACACACACACAC